TTGACTTTCTATATATATATTAATTTCTCTTAGAAATGTCTTATGAATTTTGTGTTAAAGAGTCTTGCAGTTGTTCATTAGATTTATTATTAGGTATATGATATTTCATAATTCTTTGTAAGTGATTTTTTTGAAATACCAATTTGTACTTCTTGTAGTTGACATTGAAAACCAAGTTTGCGTGTGATGAGCTTGAATCCAGCAACTTTGCTAAATTTACTTATTAATTCGAACAACTGAAAGATTTCTAACAGACAAATTATAAAACATTATTAACAGCAATTAAAGGGAATCTAAATAAGTGGATAGCTATGCCATGGTCGGGGAGACTCACTTCTGTAAAGATGTAAGCTACAGATTCAAAGCAATCTCAATAAAAATTCTAGTAAAAGTGTGTGTGAGTGTAGAAATTGACAAGTTATGTCTAAAATTTCTCCAAAAACACGAGGACAAAGAATAACCACAATGCCCTGGCTGGTTTGGCTCAGCGGTTAGAGCGTTGGCCTGTGGTCCGGAGAGACCCAGGTTCGGTTCCCACTACAAGCACATACCTCGGTTGCAGTTTGTCCCCGGCCCTGATTGGTCGTGCGGATGGCAGCCACTCGATGTGTCCCTTCCACGTTGATGTTTCTCTCTCTCTCCCTCCCACTCTATCTGAACAAAACATGGAAAAATGTCCACGGGTGAGGATAAAAAAAAAAAAGAATAACCACAGCACTTAACAACAAAGTGAGAGGGCTTATTCTATTTTATATCAAGCCTTATAATGCTCAACAGCAGGGTGTTGGTCCAAGGATAAAACAAAACAGTCTAGAAACCGATCTTGAGGCAATTTGGAACACTATCCCACCTTTGCCAGCCACTCATTGTTTGTCTAGTATGGAACTAACTCTCCAGGGAAGGTGCTTAGGAATGGTTGGTATTACCAACGGACATAGTCAGCTCAGTGTCCTTTCCGGGCTGGGGTACAGAAGTTACATTTTTTTCAGTGGTGCACAGCTCAAATTATGTGACTATTGTTCAATTTAGATGATAGGCACCAGAAAGAGTCTCTTTTATCAAATACAATAAAATTCTACTTTCATGCTCTATGTGGGGTTCAATACATTTAGTCACTTAAAAGATGCTCTTACATTATTGAAAGCTTAATTTAAAAATGGGAGCATCCTCCTGCTGTGGAGAAACCCTAAAAGTATGTATTCTTTTTTTCTTTAATATGTTTTTATTGCTTTTTTTTAAAGCGAGAGGGAGAGAGATAGAAACATAAATGTGAGAGACAAACATCAATCAGCTTCCTCCTGCATGCTCTTTACTGGGGATTGAGCCCACAACCTGGGCATGTGCCCTGACCAGGAAGGGAACCAGGACCTCTCAGTCCATGGGACAACGCTCAGACCATTGAGTCACACTGCCAGACTATTGTGTGTATTCTTTGTGTGTTTGCTAGATTTGTTCAAGAGCAGTTTCACTATAGTAGGTGGTGGGAAATAAAATATTTATTGGGCTCATTAAACTCCAACAGAATCAGGGGTGTATATCAGTAAGGAAGACAAAGAAAGAAAGGCCATTGACTAGACCATTAGCTGTTTCTGCCTCAGGAGGGCTTGGGAGAGATCAGACAGGATGGTAGGCACAGGGAAGGAGAGAAATGGACAGATTTGAGAAGCATTTGTCAAATTTCAATATACATTTTATATATCTAAATGAGTGCAATTGTACAATCTTAAACATAATGGAGACATTTCTACATTTTTCTTCATTGGAAGATACATTTCTACTTACATTGAGTTGTAATTTGATCACAGTTTCTTCTTATTTTGTTCTTGCTGTGTTCTTCCATAATTTAATATACTATAATATGTTTTTCAATATTGTGATTTGTTTTGGAAAGCATGAAGGTAAAATATGAGCTTATTCTTAAATCTGACTTTAATATCCTGCCTTCATAATCACCTTCAGTACCAAAGATCAAAATTAAAACTTCAGTAAACTGCCCTGGCCAGTTTGGCTCAGCGGTTAGAGCATTGGCCTCGGACCAGAGAGTCCTGGGTTTGGTTCCCGCTAAGGGCATGTGCCTTGGTTGCAGTTTGTCCCCGGCCCTAGTTGGGGTTGTGTGGGTGGCAACCACTCAATGTGTCTCTCTCACATGGATGTTTCTCTCTCTCTCTTTGTCCCTCTCTCCCTCCCGCTCTATCTGAAGATAAATGTAAAAATGTCCTCGGGTGAGGATTAAAACAAACAAAAACTTCAATAAACTGTCACAAGCAAACAACTGTCTTCTAGATAAAATTTCTCATTTGCAGTTGATGAAACCTATGTGACTTGCAAAGATTACAAAGCCATGTGGTTTGGAGCCTGGTCTAAAATGACTCCTGACCCCAATCCAGTTCACTGTCCATGATAAGAGGCACCTTACTGCCCCCTGGCAAGAGGATGTGTTGTTATTCAGACATGGTTCTCCAAAGCAGGGTTTCACCAGCACAGCACTATGGGCATTTTGGACACTATAATTCTTTGTTATGGGGGCCTGGTCCTGGGATATTATAGGATGTTCAGCAGCCTCCCTGGCTTCTGCCCAGTAAAGGCCAGAAATGTTCCCCTTCCACACCAGTTGTGACAATCAAAATGTCTACAGACATTGCCAAATATCCCGAGAGGCAAGTGTCTCCCCATTAAGAAAAACAGCCCTAAAATTTTCTCTCTATTCCTAAAATGTTTGAATTTTTGTCAAAATAGAAAGAATCCAGGAAACTATGTACCATTTCTTGTAAGAATATTGTCTGTTACACTTTCAACAATTTCATACCCTTTAATTGACAAGCTCAGCACTTGTGTGCTTGCTCTCTAAATCCCCGATTGCTAAGACCGTCTTCCCAATCTCTCATCCAGTCCTTGCCAGGTTCAGCTTGGCTTTGTATCAGTATATTATGTGCCAGGCTCCTTTGTTTCCTGGTTTCTAGGTGATTTCAGCCAGTGGGAGGTACTGGCCAAAGACTGGAGTAGGCAGGAGGGAATGAACCAGGGCACCTCGCCCTTTCTCTGTCCTGGCAGGAGCCCTTGAGTCACCCCCACGGCGCCTACCCTGAGACAATCTTCCTTCTGCCGTCTTCCACCAGGTGGCCCTGGCTCCCGGGCTGTGGCAACATTATCTCTGTCTTTCCAGCCCTAAGGAGGGTAGCGACTTCTAACTGTTCTAACTGTTGCTCATTTCTGCTTGATCTTGCGATCCCACCTGGCTCCTTCCATCATCTGTGTAAACAGTTGCTATGAACTGAACTTTGTCCCTTCCCTCCCCAAATTCATGTCTGGGCCCTAACCCTCTGGGTAGTTGTATTTGAAGTCAGGAAATAACTGAAGTTAAATGATATTGTAAGGTGGAACCCTGATTTAACGGGATTAGTGTTTCTGTAAGACACCAGAGTTCGTTCGTTCTCTCTATGCAAGAAGGTGATCCATCTGTAGCCAGGGAGAGAGCTCTCACAAGGACAAAATCTGCCGGCGTCCTGGTCTGGGACTTCCAGCCTCCAGAAGTGGGATAAACTCATTTCTGTTGTCAAGCCACCTAGACCACAGAATTTTGTTATTGTAGCCCGAGCTGACTACTACAACAGTTCCCTGTATTATATTTCAATTATTTAAATAGCTAGAGATTATTTTGCCCTGGCTAGTTTGGCTCCGTGGCTAGAGCATCGGCCCTCAGACTGAAGGGTTGTGGGTTTGATGCCCAGTCAAGGCAACGTACCCGGGTTGCAGGCTCCATCCCCAGGCCCTGGTTGGGTTGTGCGGGAGGCAAACAATTGATGTGTCTCTCTCACTTGGATGTTTCTCTCTGTTCCTCACCACCCCTCTCTCCCTTCCTCCTTTCCATTCTATCTAAAAAGAAAAAATCAATGTAAAAATATCCTCGGTGAAGATTTAACAAAATAATAATAGCAAATAAATAAATAGCTAGATATTTTTGTTTTCCTGCCTTCCCTGACTGACGTAGTTCTTTAAGTCGTTGACACCATGAAATATCCTAATATGGCCTGACACTATGCAAAGGCACTTTCATGTCCATTCCCTTCGTTCCCTCATCTGTTCTCCCAATAACACTGTAAGGAGGGCAAAATGACATGACAGAAGGGCACAGGTTTCGAGTCCCTTAGACAGTCACAACTCCTCCACTTAACTGGCTGCTTGGCCGAAGAAAGTTACTGAATCTCACTGGGCCCTGCTTGTCCCATCTGTAAATTAGGTCTAATGACAGTACTGACCTAAGAGGGTCATTCTGGACTACATGCGTCACCCTATGCAAAATGCTTAGACTCTTTTAGGCGTATAATAAACGCTCAATATATCTAAGTTTTATTTTTAGCTACCATTCTTTGAGTGCCTACTATACGCCAAGCACTCCGATAAGTACTGGGGACATGACGACAAATAAGAAATAATCAATGCCCTTAGGGAGCTGCCGTATACCAACACAGGCAACACATGGTAAGTGTATTAATATACATATTATCGGAAAGTCAAATAGAGCACGGTCCTCAGCCAAGGTTTGGGAGACAAGTGTCAAGGCTGAAATCCCGGTTTCGCCAAGTACTAATGGTTTGGCTCTGGGCTTGGAGTTCCAGTTCTCTATTTTCTCAGCAGCAAAATGAGGCTAACAATAGATAGCATTTACCTCACAAAAATGTGGTGAGAAGAAATGGGATAATAAAGGTAGAGTTTCTGGAAGACGGCATGTGCCAGAGGACAGTTACCTTTATCGTCAGTAGGGGACACAGAATCAGGTTGTCTAACCTCACCAGGGCTCCCCCACATTTTCCACTCTTCGCTGGTCACTCTGATCTACTTGACAATGACTGCCTTTCTCTCTCTTTCTCCTGCTCCGCAGAGGAGTACATATACAAACCTAGAGACGTCAAAGAATGTTTGTAGCAGCTTTATTGACAACAGTGCCAAATTGGAAGCAAACCCAATGCCCATCAACAGGAGGATGGATAAATACACTGTGATATATATTTGTATACAATGAACTACTACATAACAATTAATGAAGTTAATGAAAATTAATTTCAGTTGCATGCAACAGTATAGATGAATCTCACAAACAACATGTTGAAGAGAAAAAGCCAGAGTGTGTATTTTACAATCCCATTTGTAGAAAGTCCAAGAGTAGGCAAGTGAATCTGTAGTCATAAAATTCAGAAGAGCGGCTATCTTTGGGGAGGTATTTGCTGAGGAGGGTGGTGACATACTAGTAACTGTTGAACAACCAGCTCTAGAAAAAAAAACAAAAATCTCTGGTTTCATACCATTGCCAGTCCCCAGGGTGTAAATTCTCCCACCAAGGTGGATTTCAAGCTACTAATGTGACGTCACTGAGCAGAGCTGGGAAGAGTCGTATGTGGACAGGCTGCTGGGAGCCGGCGTGAGCCAGCTCTGACCCAGCACTGGTAGGTGCCATGTAGGGGCACTCTGCAAAGTATACACACACAGGTACATACTTAATTAAGATCTGTTCACTTTATTGTGTGTATATTAATACCTCAATAAGAGGTAAAATGCAAAAATGTCTGTGAGAATGAGAAAGATAGAAGCAGCTGTAACTATGTTTCAGAGGAAGGTCCAGGGAGATTCGGTGGCTGGAAAGACAGCCCTGGCATCTTCCTGTGCCCGTGACAGACAGAGAGCAAAGAGAGACACCACCGGCAGACACTGGCATAAAGAGAAAAGAGCTGGGCCACGCTCTCATTCTTTCAACCTGACACTTGGTTTAATCTCATCACTAGTGGCCGAGACACCACACAGAAGCCGGTGTTGCCTCTGACGAGCCTGGAAGCACCGCCCTGCCTGTCCCTCCGAGACGGAGATTACTCCCCTGGGTGGCTCCAGGTGAATGTTTGCAACACAGCATCACCTGAACACAATGATCAGACACAAAAAAGCACCGATGTAAAGAACGTTACATTTATTTTGAGTAGAAATGCATATTCGTATCATTTTCCTAGTATCACTAAAATCCTAAATATGTTCAATATGTCTGAAAGATCTCTATAGTCTAGCTAAATGAGACATTTTAATAGGACAGCTGCTCCTAACATATACAGCCCTCAAATATTTACTGTTACAAAAGCCGAAGCAAAATTTCAAAGGAGTTTGACTGATGGCAGCTCGACACATCCACAGATTCATTTGTTCCCAATCTGGCAGAACAGGACCATAGAAAATACCAGACCAAGTATCTAGAAAACAAAACAATAGAATTAACATGGAATTTAAGGGACAATGCTGGAGACATCATAAACAGAAAGAACATTATGTATATAAATATATAATCTTGTCTATCTGTTATCTCCCTTTGTGGGAAATTAGACTCCCACAGGACAAAACCTCCGAAAGTTCTGAGTATTCTGTGTCCTAATCGGGTCTTCAGCTGGCCGGGCTCCTCTGCCCTATCTGCTCGTCCAGCAGCAGCTGCCCGGAGCACTCCACCCTTCTGTGGGGCATCTGCCCTGGAGCTCAGGGGAGCTCAGGGGAACTCTGGGTGCTCAACACACCTACTGCTTCCATAAGAGGGTGATGATCACCTGGTTTAGATCATCTGCATAAAAATCAAGGAGTCTAGAATTTCTCTTGCCATAGTTAGGGCACTGCTGGGAGGAAGGGAAAAAAAATACATTTTTTCTTTAAAAACTTCTCAATCGATGGAGAATAGCTTAATTCAGACATTTCCTTTGAAGTGAAAAAACACAACTGAAAATCTGGAGCATAGTTTCCGGCTCATTAAGTGGCTGTCCCAAGAATGAGGGACCTCAAAACTTGCCCTGTCTTTGCAGTTGGGGACTCGCATGCTGCGGCTTTGATGTAGAAATGACAGACAGACTGATGTCACCGATCAAAAGGTTCCTCCGCACCAGCCTGCTCTGAGGGCCAGCAGGAGGGTGAGCTACCATTTATGCTGAGTCACCACACGTGCTCCTCCTGTATTGAGACGTCTGCTTAACAACACTTTCCTGACAATGCGTTTTAAATGAGAGCTACTGCCCAATATTTCTCTTCTTAAAAAACAAACAAACAAACAACAAAAAAAGCAAGTAGAAACTAATTCTCTGCAAAAATAGTGATTTTCATTCAGAGTGTTCTCAGTCATTCTTTTAGAATAACTTCAAAAAGCCTTGAAATTCAGTCTTTTTGCCTTGATCCCAAGCTTCAAGTCTGGAAGACAGGTATCAGGAAAGAAGAAAGAAAATGGGCAAAATACTGGGATAAGGCAACTATCGTCTTTCACTGTCACATGCTTGAAACAGAAGCCCACCATTTATCAGCAGACTCAACAGTGAATATGCCACTTTCTTGCATCTCACTGCCTCTGAAAAGAAAATGTATCATTGTTCATAAAAATAGCAAGTAATTAAAAAGAGATCCATTGTGTGGTAATGTATGTGAAGACTCAGGACAAGTAATGTGCATGAGTTCCCATACTCTGGAGAAGTCTAAAAAAATGTAAAATTATCATTTTTCTCTCTTTTAACTATGCTATTCTTGGGACCGTCTGTCAGGGTGACTTTTATCCCCCAGTGATGACTGTCAATGTCAGTGACTTTTTTCCTTAGTTGAAATGAGAAAAGTGCTGATCATTTTTCGTGCTTCTAAGTTGTTGTAGTCAAATAAAGAGATATGATCATCTGATTATTTTACTTGGAATAATGAGAATTCCAAAAATGTCTACACATAAAATTTTCTTACAAAACAAAGCATTTCACATAGATTCATAACATCCTATCTGAGAAGAATCCCTCAGGTGTGTGGTCTTAACAACAGAGCCGGTGCCTAAACAGACTAATGCCAAAGGTCTAAATGTCGGAGGGTAATTTTTTTCGTATTATTTTTTAATGAAGATAGTTTGAATATGTTTTCTGCATGGGGATATTTGTCCCTGTTAACTTCTTTAAAATATTTATTGGAGAGATTTTTCTCTGAGTCTTTGTGTTTTCTTGAATTTGAACTTGGGAAACAAGGCCTAAGTATTAAGCCTTGGAAGTGGGCCTAAGTGTTAGGCAACTAGGATTAATGACTTAAGACAGACCAAAGTGCATTTTTTTTTTTTTGATACAATTTTATAGACCGAATATCAGAGGAATATTTTCAAAGCTACAGTTCTTTAAATCAACTATTATATCTACATGCAGTCTAGAAATCACACTAACTGGCATGACTAAAAAAGTTATATTTTATGACATTAACATATATATAAATTCCCTACCTACAAAATGGGTATTTATTAAGGTATTTTCCTAATCACATCTTTAGAACAACCAATAAAATATCTAAATATGTAGCAAACACATGTATTATCCCTCTTGTAATCTTACTTCCCATTAGGTGTATTTAAGTTCTTGGCAATGCTTTTGACTATGATATGAGAGAGATCCATCTCCCCAGTTGATTATGTCTTTATTTTTTTCTGGCTTTCCTTTTGAGAAGTTTCTTAAAAGCATCTGTGGGCTGTAGCCAGTCTTAGTGAATTTGAGTCTCCTGTGAAATTTGACAGTCACAGTGACACTTGCATCGAATGCTTTGTTTAAAGCCTGCTCTTTCAACCATCCACATCAAGTCTACTCCAGCAACATGTGTTTGTGCTGTGTGACTTACGTTTATAAACGTGTGAGTATATATGTATGTGATTCCCCGCTCACCTCTATGGCCACTAGCTCATGTTTCTAAATTAGCATTAACCCAGATTACAAAGCAGAGAAATAAATGACATTTCACAAAGGCAGAATCAAGAGAACTAGACTTAATACATAGCACCATTCAACTTGGATCCTACATCGGACGTAAAGAAAGCCGGCCATGTTTCCAGCAGAGAATGCTTCATATTTAGACCTATTCTGGGCTACCAGGAAGTAATAGTCAATATCCCAATTTATTGCTAGTTGTCCCTACCCTTCTTCTAAAGGTTGGCTGGGAAATTCCACACCAGTAAACCGAAATGACCACTTAGAACACTAAATTGCTTCAGTGCTGGCTGAAATTCCTTTCTGGCAGTGATGTGGCACAAGTGAGAGGTAACCAGCCTCCAGCAATCCCAAGGGGGACACGGTGCCGCGTTCCAGGAGAGTGAAGCTGCGGCACTCAGCTGAGCTCACCCCTCGAGGCACTAACCACGGAGACACCCCGCACATCGTTAGGACTCTTGCCAATGCCCTGAACAGGATGCAAGTGAATTTGACTCACTTGATGTCTAAATTAACCAAGAGCTAAGATGATTCCAAACATGCTTCTCTGAAATAGTTTTACTTCATCATTTTGGCAAAGTTTTTTAGGCCATGTAAGAACTATCACTCAGATTCTTCTTCCTTTTTTTTAATGCCAAGAAAGGCCATCAAGATCAAAACCCTGTACAGGATCCCCCCCCCCCCCCCCCGCCACATCAATAGTAATCAAATTGATGAGAGTAAAATACATAAACCCCGAGAAGAGTTTCCTTAAAAACTTCAAGTGAGCCCATAGTCTTTACAGTGAGAAAATCAAAGGCAACTATTTTGAATTTTTAGAACTTATTAGGTTTCTCTAGAATGGAATAGCTCCTCATACTCTTGAGTTCAGTTTTTTTATTTTTTGTTTCAAAATCAGGAGGAGAAATAAAAAATGTAAAGATTGTGTTTGGATTTGTCTGGGGTTCTTCTAATTTTAACTTGTATTAGTTTTCTTTTTCTTTTTAAAAAATCTTAAGTGTTTCATTGATTTTTAGAGAGTGAGGAAGGGAGAGGGAGAGATAGATAGAAACATCAATGAAAGAGAAACACTAATTGGCTGCCTCCTGCAGGCCCCTACTGGGGATCCAGCCTGAAACTCAGGCATGTGCCCTGACTGGGAATCGAACTGGCGACCTCTCAGTGCACTGGCGGGGCTCTTGTATTAGTGTTCAATGGGAAAAAGATATCTGGGACTAAGAACTGTGTGGAAATTAACTCCATTTTTATTTCCCAGTAGAGAGATCAGTCAGAAATAACAGGCTTAGGGCTCCTCGATTCACACGATTGTAATTCCCTCCCCAGAACCAAAGTTGACAGAGAGTGATGCTGGCCCCTGGCACTTGGTACCCAGTGCTTTTCCGAAGCACCTGGTTTTTACTTGGCTCACCATAAGTATGTGTTAGGAGAAGTAACGGACAACGAGGGAGTAAACAGAGTCAATGTAGAGAGATTATACTGTACCTCAATAACAGCCAGTCCAAACGCTATTCCGATAATTATGATAGCATGTTTTTTAATCAAGTCTTTTATAAAAGAAACGCATGGCTGTTAAAAAAAAACACACACACAAAACATAAAAAGTTACCTTTAATCACATTTTGATGACCTTATCTGAATAAGATTCTTTTTCACTGGGTTGATTTTTTTACATTGTTACCAAGAAACATTCAACAAAAAGGAATTGATAATTTCCTCTACTTCAAGCTCCTCGCCTCGCTGAATGGTAGTAATTGTGGGTTGTTCATACACTAGAAAGCACTTGAGGGGCAACATTTGCTTCAACTATGTCACTGCTGAATCTAGGTATCTCTAGGTATAAATAATGATTTTATTTTGATTCACAATTCTAGAATTAGCATGTTGACTGTGTATATTTTTAGGTTTGTGATCTGTAGCAGAGTTCCCTGTTTGGGGTTCCAGCTAACAATAGTGAAAAGTTTCATTTTTCAAACAAGGTTCGTCAGAAATCCCTTTCTAATACTTATCAGGTTTATTTTTACCTTAAATTTTTTTTAAATCATATGTCCACTATTATGTCCTTAATTTAAATAAAAAAGAGAATTTGAGAAGTTACCTCTTTAGCACATTTTTAAAATTTCACACACACCAACATGCAATTTCAAGCTTAAAACATTTCCGACCACACTACAAATTCCAAAAAATTGTAAATTATATGACTAATTTAAAAAATAAAAATATTATACAATGTAATAGTTCTATTATATGTGTTGCTAGAAAATATATCAACCCAATAATAGTCTTTTATGTACAAAGAGCTAACAAAATATAGCTATTTGTTCAATAAAATATAAATTTTCCATAAGGCTTTTTCCCTTCGTTCCTGAATTGATTTCTCTAATCTCATCTGATCAAAATGGTAAGCATTAGAAGAAATGATTACATTATTTAAATTTAACTATGAGATTAATGATTTACTGAGTCATATTTGTAATGCTTAATGAGTTTTCTTCCCCTTCCCCTTTTGATAACCAGGTTATCTTGGCAAAAGACAGGGAGGAGGGAAAGAAACAAATTATGGCCATTTCAGATTTCTTATTTTTCCAGACTCCTCGCGAACGACACAGGGCAGATGGAAGTATTTTATGAATTTATGACCATCCTTTCGGGAAACCGGTGCAGCGATCAGCCTGCATTTGGCTGAATTACGTGTGATTTTGGAGGGAATGTCTACTATTTTTTAGGATAATGTGAGGGCTTTTCAAAATGTATCCTGAAGAAAAACATCTTTGTGTTGAATCTTTCACGGGACACAGCAGTCTGCAATTGAATTTACTATTTTTCTCATTATCCTAAGCAGAAACTACATTTGCTTACACCATATTTATTTCCCTCTTCCTTGTGGATATTGTGTCTCTAACATTAGGGAGGGGGGGAGGGAGCAGGGAGGAATATAAAAAGGAAGAATACAATTTTTTTTAACTTATATTACTTGGATAATGAAAGACAGGATAGCCTGTAGTCTGAGAGATAACTTCTCCCCAACATGTAACTCTAAATACTAGCAACAGCAATTCCCTTTCAGAACAGTCTCCTTAATTTTGGTAAGATTAGAATAAGGGATGTGACAGTCAGCAGGAGAGATGTTTCTCCTGAGATACTTTCTATGTCCCGATATAAAATTAACCTCAGTAGCCATTACTAAGGCAATAATAGATGGAAATAATCTATAATTATTAATATATAATTTATTGACATATGAGAGCTGTTATAATTATTAATGTATAATTTATTGGATTATAATAGCTATTATAGATCTCTCTCTCAACTAGACTCTAATCTCCTAGAGGACCCAGAAGCATGTCTGATTCTAGTAAGGGTCTGTCTGACACATAGTAGGCACTGAAGGATAACAGCAAATAAATGACACATTAACACCAATTGTTACTTTTGTACACATTCCTTTCAGGCAGAAGGAACACACTATATAAAACCCTGTGGCAATAGACAGATAATCATATCCTCTAGGAAGCCATAGTTTGAACCCCCAAAACTGAATTAGATGGGGTCCCATAACACCCGTGTCTGCCCCTATCCAAGAAATACCAATAGTTTATTACATTGAAGTTGCCTGGTTATCTTTCTCTCTTGCCTATTGGAGCATCAGCTCCATCAATGCAGACACTGCGCCCTAATCAAGAATTGATCTCCAGTGGCTGCTAGATAGTCTGACACGTAGGAAATGGTCAATACTTATTTGATGAATTAAGCAATGAGAAATATGACATGCACGTATTGACACCCACACGTGACATAATAAATGTGACATCTACAACACATGAAAGATAAACCCAGCTTCTTCAATTGACTTGAAATGTCTGAGGCAACTTCTAACCTGGAGCACTAATTAGACAAATCAGTAGGTAAACTTAACACCCAGAGCTGAAACCCCTAAAGGCCAAGTCCCTTTTTTACACCTATACAATTACTTGAGAAAAGGAATTTTTGATCAGAAAAAGAAAGCTTTACTTTTAAAGTTAAAGTGAAAATATAGATTTCTAGCACATATGTTAAAATAGAAACAAATGAGAATAATGATTAAAATCACCAGAGAGGACAAAATAAACTTTTATCTGTTAGTTTGCACTTCGCCTCCCTTGCAGCAGAATGTTACTTTGATCTACTGGAGTTGAGTTTAAATGATGCCAGACTCATAGAAGAAATGAAATACTTTCATCTTTTTTATATTGGCTTTTATCTTTAAATAAGGATTTCTTTTTTATTTGGGAAATTCCTGGGACTTTTTATGTCACGGTTCCTATTATAATTGCTGCAATTTAAATTTTTGTGAAGACTTTTCATTGTGAATAAAATGAACAGGACCCCTTACTGTGCCAAGTTTGATTTGTTATTACCTGTTTGTAAACAAGTTGTCCTTCATAAATTGTACAAGAAGTATTTGACTGATCTGGACATTTACACGACTCATAATTCGTTCCCCAGTCAGCAGCTCCATTGAGCAAACCACAGCATTGAAACTGTTTGATGAAAAATAGATATGAAAAGCAGGCACTAAAGAAGATAAAAACATTGTCAGTACATTGAATCATATTCTCCTGAAACCATTTTTAAGGTGTTTCTTTTAATGAAATATTGTGTATTTTCACCCACTCTCTGAATGTAAAAAGCAAAAATAAATAAATATTCCCTTTTGGTCTTAATATTAAAGAAGGAAAAACAGGTTGCAGGAACAAAAGTCTGAGGAACTTGGGAAGAAGATGAACAAGTTACCTTTCAGCTGTTTTTTTTTTTTTTTTTTTTATCCTCACCCAAGGACATTTTTGTAGTCATCTTCAGACACAGTGGGAGGAAGAGAAGGAGGAAGAGAAAGAAAGAAACATCGACATGAGAGAGACACATTAACTGGTCGCCACCCACACAACCCCAACTGGGGCCAGGGACAAACTGCAACCGAGGTACGTGCCCTTAGCAGACACTGAACCCGGGTCTCTCTGGTCTGAGGGCTGACGCTCTAACCGCTGAGCCAAACTGGTCAGGGCTTACCTTCCAGTTTTTAATGACAAAAAAAGGAGCAGAATCAGTTCTACTTAGCTTAGATTTTAGGCAAGAAGCTTCCAAAGAGTTCATGCAAGAGTCAAGATCTGTTTAAAAAATTTCTGCTCAAAAGAGATGAGAGATTTTAAAAATGAAATTTCCTTCTCATGATCTTTGATCACTTTTGGAGACTAGGAGGAAAGGGGCGAGGGGCTCCTCAAAAGCCAAGGACTCTCAGTGGGCCTCCCATGAAATTAAACTTTAGATGGACATCTGCACGAGAGGGAAAGGGGTACAAATGAGAGATGAAACTCTTAGAATAATGTCAGAAAGGTTAAGGGCTGGAATAAATTGAAACATGGTGAAACCCTAGGGGAACTTGGTCATGTTTGGGGAAGAAAAAGAAGGAAGTGACCAGCCCAGTAACTCAGAGCATTATTAGATGAAAGAGAGAAATAATTATCCCTCATCTTGTCCTACTTGCTCTATTAGAATAGGAGAAAACTCTTGGTGCAGAAAGGCAGAAAAATAAATGGCTGAAGAAAACAGAACCAACACGGGGTGGTTTTCCAGGCTCAGGTGCATTGCAATGCCTGGACGTGGAAAAAACATTCACTTACTGGCTGGGTGACCACATTATCCGTGTGACCTAAACCTCTCTGTGCCACAGTTTCCTCATCTGTGAAATACAGATAATAGTTGCTAATATCAAGAGTTGCTAATATCTATCAATTTGTAGATTGGTTGTAAAGATAAAAAAGAGAAAACCCACATGAAGACATGAAATGCTCAACCCAGTGACTGGATCATAGAAAGCACTCATTGTGTGTTAGCTGTCATTGTTATTTTTGTTTTGTCATGGTCACTGTTTCCATTACGCTCTCACCGACCGTCATCTATTCAACACTGGTATCAGTGATTTAGATAAAGATATGGAAAGTATCTTTTCAACTCTGTACCTGATATAGAGCTGGGAATGATGACTAACACAGTGGAGAACAGAATCAAGTTCAAAGATGGTCCAAACAATGGGCTTAAACTACCAAGTTTAACTGAGCACCTTGGCTCGAAGACTCAATTACACAAATGCAAGGTGGGCAAAAGTAGGTTTATAGTAGTGAGTACACAAGACAGAGTTTATTCTTATATTATTTATTAATTACTGCATTATTTTCCATATAAACAATTGGTAACCTAGTTTTGCCCCCCTCTGGGTATGACTCAGCAGGCTTTTATATGACAAAGAGCTGGAGATCTCAGGTGGTCCCGAGACCAATCAACATTAGCAGAGAGCAATCTGGAAATAACCTCTGTTCCTATTCCCATGGTAGAGAGACATCACTAATTAGAACATAAATCCCCAAAACTATAAACCCCACTCTAGGCACTCACAGATCAGTCCACAGTTGGACCCCGGTGTACCTCAGGATTCCTCAGGGGAGTAGAGTCATACAGAAGACAGTGTAGAAAGGCTAAACTGGGTATGATTTCTAGTCCCAGATCAGATGTAGGAGCAGTTAGGAAGCTGATCAGAACTTGTTGAAGGAGTTATAACAGCTGGATGAACAAGGCACTGTGTAGGGAATGAGACAACAATCTCTAGACTAATAGTCATCACAAGAATCCAAGGGGCACATTTCATTAGCACGTTAGCAAGGAATTTGTGTAGGAATGTCTGTCCATGTGTGGTGGAGCCCCAGGTCACCCAGCCAGAGTCTGAGGGAGAATTTTTTTCCAAAGAAGCATTACTTAAAAAAAAAAAAAGAAGGAAAGAAAGCCCTGGTGGATAACAGAAAGAAAAGAAAAAACAGAATGCACAATGAAAAGAAAATATGGTCCTATGAACACAAGGAGCTTCAGATACAGGATTAGTGCATAAAAGTGAAAGCAATTCAGAATTGTACTATGAAAAAGAGAACATTTAGAACCCCGTTGTCGGCACTGAGACCTTGGACACCAGACACAATGTGCAGCAAGTGTGACTCAGGACTCAACCTAGCGACCCAGTGGTTACCCGCAGTACATTTGGCTCCAGGGAGAATCAAGGGCGCTCAGTCCCACCCAGCGCAGGAACGGAGTTGCCTGAATTCTCCCTGCTTTAAACCTTGATGAAGCTGGGTTTCAGAGTAGAATGAGCCAAGGGATGCAGCGCTGGGGAGCTGGGGAGCACGACCAGAGACAGCTAAACAGGGACTGACTCGTATCAAGCTTTGGCTCTTGAAAATGATGCTTTAGGCAGAATTTTTACAAGCTGGAGTCTATCCAAATGGGAATTGGGTAATGCTCCGGAAAAAAAAGTCATCTGATAAATAGCTCAAGAAAGGATATTTGAACTTGAAAAGCAAATCTTTTAGAAGTCACATGATAGCCGTTTTCAAAGAAAAAGTGGCAGCATATAGACCATCCGTAGATTTTCTTTTTCCTCTGAAACTCCAGAAGAAAGAATTGAGACTGAATGATGCCAATTCTCAGGAGACAGACTTTGTTTCCAATTCAGAAAGAACACACTAATTATCAAACTTGGATATAAGTGGGATGGGCAAATAGTGGTAAACTTTCAGCTCTTCAATATTTAGTTAGAGGGTGTATGACCATAGATGTAAGATACTTCAGTCAGTGAGAAGTCAGGTGCAATGTTCTATAAAATCCAGCTCTCCTCTAAGATTCCAAGAGTTTCTACGACATATGTGAAATGAATGTTACACGTAGTTAACACGATGGGGATTACAAATAAAGAAGGTGTAGTTCTGTCCGGCCGGTATGGCTCAGTGGTTGCGTCGACCCACGCACCAAGAGGTGGCTGCTTTGATTCCCGGTCAGGGCACATGCCCGGGTTGTGGGCCCGATCCCCAGTGGAGGGGCATGCAGAAGGCGGCCAATTGATGTTCTCTTTCATCAATGTTTCTAGTTCTTTCTCCCTCTCCCTCCCTTATCTTTCTAAAATCAATAAAGGAAAAAAAAAATGTGTTTTTTTTTTTTTTTTTTAAAGGTGTGGTTGGAAGGAGTTTCACAGAGTAAGTAATATTTTACTCAAGCCTTCCAGCACATGGAGTATCTGGACGGAAGACGTGGTAAGTACATCCCGAAGATGGGGAACAGTGCACAGGGAGAAAGGCAGGGCTGCCTCACGCACCCTGAGCAGACAGACCCGGCGGGACCAGAGTGTTTTCGTTACAGAACTGTGCTTCAGAAAGTTGTACTATTAGGTAGGAGCCGCATAGAAAACCTTCAGTGCCTGCCCAAGTTTTGCCTTTACCCTAAAGATAGCAAAGCAGCCTAAATAAATAAACTAACAAATGGGGGTTAGTGTACTGATTCAAAAGAATTAACTAGTCAGATTCAAATTCCAGCCCCATCACTTGTTAGCTGTCAGACCTCTCTAAGCCCTAATCTCCTCACCTGTCAAATGGGAATAATGAGGAGAATTACACTGTCCACCTCATAGAGTTGTTGTAAGAATTAAATGAGCTACTAAATGTAAAGCCTGGTACCTAGTAAGCAGTAATAAATGACAGCTATAATTATTTTCATGAGAGAGGGAGAGGGCATGGAAGGAAAGAGACAGAGAATGAGAGACAGAGAGAAAGAGACGCTCCAAATGCCCAAGCACACTATAAATATTAAAACAATGACTGGTTTGGCCCAATCAAAACTTAATCTGTCATAAACTTATCTTCTTTTTTTTTTTGTTTAGTCCTCACCCAAGGATATTTTTTCCAGATATCTTCGGATAGAGTGTGAGGGGGAGGAGAGAGAGAAAGAGAGAGAAACATCAGTGTGAGAGAGACACATCAATTGGTTGCCTCCCACACAACCCCGACTACAACCCAGGACAGAACCACAACCAAGGTTTGTGCCCTTGACCAGAATCGAACCCACAATTCTTTGGTCCTCGGGCCGACACTCTAACCACTGAGCCAAATCGGCCAGGGCATAAACATATCTTCTTAATCTCTGTCCTTCTGAAATGCTTTAGAACTTTGTAAGATGCTGGAAAGAAATTAGAAATATTCTTGGATTTTTCTTATTGCATAGAGACAGAATAATCAAGTCTGCAAAATGGAGACCCTTTTCAACCTTTAAGGAATCCACCTATTAAAAATTAAGTAAACACACAAGAACCATGTCTCACTCCCCAAATGACCTACAAATTCTAATTACCTCTTTCTGAAACTTAATCAGGGTATTCTGGAATGCTTTAGCGTTATCATCTGTTCCACTCAAAAGCTCCACATTTTTCTGGAGAGTCTCATTCAGAATATGCTCAGACTGCAAATTTAAAAAATATTGTAAAGTTATTCGTGTCAGAAGGTAGTCTTTCTATTTCTCAGACTTTCCCAAAATTATCAATTATCATGTGTGTACCCACCTCAGATTTGAAAGTAGCTCCTACGATGCCTGCCGCCACCTGCAGAAGCAGGATCAAAAGCAAGCCTATGAAAAACTGAAAGAAAGAAGAAGGAACACACATGACTCCAGGGCATTCAGGAACATCTTGGGACCTGTTGGCAAGGCGCTTCGCTCTACAGTCTGGATCATGTTACAAGTTGAAGTAGTAACCACTCTCTCCATGTATTCTACCCTTTGCCTCAAGAAGCAAATTTTGGGACCATTGCTACACAGAAATATTTGCTCCAACGACTGACCACAAGAAATGGTTAAAAAGAAAATGTCTTCATGGAATGGTAGATGTCAGTAGATGTTGAGTAGGGGAAAGTTTAAAAACTTAAATGACATTATTTAAATGTTATCTTTCTCCTCTTTCTTTCTCAAACACAAACTTCAAAACAAACTTCAGAAATGACTACAAAACAACGTTTCTACCACTGTCAGAATCACCCGGGTCTGGTTATAAATGTAGATACCTGAAACCTGCCTTATACTTTTGGAGAATACAGCCCACAAATTAATTGATTTTTAAAGCAAGCTCTTCAAGTAATTAAATGATCAATTGCTAATGAGGCCATATGAACCTAAAAGCAACACTATGGATGCTAACAGAGTTCTGTTAAAACTCTGTCCTTACCTTCCCTCGTAATGAACAAACACTTCAAAAATATTTCTTTCAGGGACTGACACAATACTTACTTTATGAGAGAAACAAGTTTAGGTGAACTCTGATAAACTCTTATGTCAGATTTATATCTAATAAATACTTGATGATTTTTCTAATGTTTTTTTAATATCCATTTATTATTTTCTACTATACATTTTAAAGCGGAAGTCTGTGGGTTAGCCCAACCGAATCCATCCTCCTTGAAGCTTTCTAAGTGACAGATATGATTATCTCACTCCCTTGCAATTTTCTTGGCTTAAAATGTGATTTTGCCACAGTCCATACTCAGACTCATCTCCATTATTTACCACAAATAACCTCTGCCACTGTAGCCATACCCAAGACCTTACAGTTCCCCAAGCAAGCTAGCAATGCCCAAGGCCTTGTAGTTCCTCCAAAAAGCCAGGTTTTTTCCCTCCTGGAAAGCTCATCACAATCTTATCCACACAGATGACCTTATTTACTTCTGCCTCTGGCTTGAAATTCCCTCCTATATCCTCACCCTTTTCTTCTTGGGCCACTCCCCCTGCAGCTAATTATTTATTTGTCCATCTTCCCCGATGGGTTCTAATGGTCTTAATGCCACTGCATCATTTAGCACATTTAGCACATTATCTGGCATGTACCAGGTACTCAGCAGGAATGAATAAATGAAGGCTGAAATTTGTCTTTTCTTAGGGTATCCTTGATTCCAAGCCAAACATATTACTTCCACGATCAAACCCTCTCAACGGAAGCCAGAGTTGCATCAACCTTGCAAGTCCTTTTGGCAGACGGGGGTGGGTGCTGGGACCGGCTGGAAAACTCACCAACAGGAGCATGCAGCGACTTTCTCTCATGGCACCACAACAGCCCAGGAAACCCAGGATCATGATGGTAGCACCCACGGCAATCAAGATATCCACAGCGACATAAGGGTTCATGCCAGATTCCCCTTTGCTGATAAACTGAACAACAAAAAGAGAAATCAGAAAATCCCTTTCCTTGATGTGTTTTACTCAACGAAAATCCATCGGGTACCAACTATGTGCCAGGCCCTGTTTCAGGACCTTGAGATGCTTCAGTGATCTAAACCAGCAAAAATCCCTGCCCTCAAGGAGCTTACATTCTATAAGGTGTTACTTATCTGAATAATGTTTTCAATGTTGTACTTTCTAAGGTGCTATATTGGATATTGGATGAAAGCAATGTAACAGGCTTTTGAAGCACCATTTTAACTTTAGAAGGACATGTACTTCCACCCATGATGTGCTCTTTGGTTTGCATGTTTTGTGTTTTAGACATAAAAGCAGCACTGTAATGCATGTGATTTTTTATGGCAATTAAATTAATTATAAAGCCCAAGTACCTCAAACCAACGATAGGCCCAACAATATGAATGAATCTCAAAAAACATATTAAGCTAAAGAAGTCATATTCAAAAGAGTGACTACTGTGTGATTCCATTTATATGATCAAGAATAGGTAAATCTAAGCTATGGCGATAGACATGAGAGCAGGGCTTGACTTTTAGCTGGGTAGGAAGGAAAGGAGGAACTGACTGCAAAGGGATGAGGGAACTTTTATGGGTTAATAAAATGCTTTCTATATTGAATATGATAGTAATTCCACAGGACTATAAATTTTCCAAAACAAACAAAAAATGTAAACTGAGAGAAAAACGTCTAGTGCCTGATAGTCCATATCAATTCTATCTCCTTGTTCCCAGAAGATATATAATCTATGGAGTCTTCCAGAAACTCTCCATTTTACCCGACTATTAAGTAACAGGATGCTGAGGGGGGAATCTTAGTGCCCTGTGTGGTGGGTAGGCCATCCAACCTGCATAATCCAATTCTCTTCCCCGCACACAAACTCTGGTTCATCACCTTCCAGACACCCAGCCTCAATCCGCCACGTGTCCTCCAGACATGTCCAGAAACACATCATGACCGCAAAGTGCAACCTCGTGCCTGTTACACCTGGTGCCGCCTGCAGCCCGTCTGCCTGTCTAACCTCTATCTCCTGGTCTGTTTCTAGGCGGGGCATTAGTTCTTAGACTGTCTCAGAGACTCTGCCTCCTAGAATCTTCTACACATTATGTAGGTCAGCTCCCTTAACAGGAAATACAAAAAAACACCACTATGAATGATCTTTGCATTTTATTTTATTTTATTTTTTACATTTATCTTCAGACAGAGTGGGAGGAAGAGAGAGAGAAAAACATCAATGTGAGAGAGAAACATCAATTGGTTGCCACCTGCATGACCCCAACTGGGGCTGAGGACAAACCGTAACCGAGGTACGTGCCCCTTGGCTGGAATCGAACCCGGGACTCCTTGGTCTGTGGACCGATGCTCTAACCCAGCGGTTCTCAATCTGTGGGTCATGACCTCTTTGAGGGTCGAATGACCCATTCACAGGGGTCGCCTAAGACCATTGAAAAACACATATTTCCAATGGCCTTGGGAACCGAGACAGGGCTCCTCTATCCGTCTCCAGGCGGGTCCGCCCACATGCAGATACAGCCACATACAACATGAGGAACTGGATTAAAGGTCTCAGCATCAGGAAGGTTGAGAACCACTGAGTCTAACCGCTAAGCCAAATCGGCCAGGGTGATCTTTGCATCTTAAACGACTCTTTCAAAAGATTCATAGCCTAGAGGGAAACTTTGTTCAACAATCAGGAAGTGGGACGGAATGTGCTGAAGTTGTCAGAGCATTAGAACAAAGACCTATATTCCAGCAGGTCCTAACACATAACTGAGTCTCCAACACTGGAATAGGCACACGGTACTGGCCCCGGTTTCCCACTGATGGGGACAGGAGTCAGCCTCTGTGCTATCTAAGGCCTCCTTTGTCTCTGAGCATCTGTCCTTACTGATAACGTTTCAATTTCCATATTTAGAAACCTTCACATTTACATATGGCCTAAAGATTTTTTGTTCCTTTTTTCATGCTTTGTGTTTGTGAATTTGTTTGCTTGTTACGATTGGAGCTAAGAAATCAGTTTTGTTAATAAACAGGCATGTCAAAATAGGAAATAACCAAAAAGAAAAACACCACACACACACAAAACCAGCATTAGGAAACCTGCTCTGCCCACTCACTATCAAATACGCTTCACTAGACCCGTGTGGCCAGTGTGGGCCAAGCCTGGGGCATCGAAGGGGGGCCTCACTCACTGAGTCATCGGAGCTCTGCTCAGACAGCCCAGGCAGAGAGACAGCAGGTCAAACATCCAGCGAGACCTGGGCGACGCGGCCAGCGTCTATTCAGTGGGTTAATGAAGCTGGTGAGCCACAGCCAAAGACTGGTCAGAAAGCAGTGTGTCGGTTTTCTGAGGGTCTCTGCTCTAAGACCAGCCCAACAAGTGGCTGTTTTTATTCTGAAAGCAGTGGACATCTAGTTCAAGTGTTTGTTCCAGGAGAGGGGCGACAGAGTATTAAAAGCTGTCTGCGTGTGTCTTAGGACAAGGGGAGACTTTGTAAAGAAAGAGGAACAACTGGACCGGGAAGAAGGGGGTCAGGGTCCTCTTCGGATTCTCAGGGATCTCCTTTGACAAGGCGGCTGCCCAGATGATTGGCCTCACGACGCTGAGTTCATCCTGAGGGAGAACAAATTCTCCCTGGGAGATGCTTTCGTACGAAGAGATCCGCTGAGAGATGTTCACGGAGGCCTCCCTGACACCCTTCTTTTCTGTGTTTCTCTGCTCAGGTTTCTTCTAAAATTGCAACCAGTGGTCCCACTAGTAAAATGCAGTTCTTTGCACAGTCCGGATTCTTGGTCACTGACTTCGGACAAGTATAAATCGAGCCAATTTAACGTAAGTCAAGCTGGTTAACGCTGTCCTGGCAGATGCTGACTTTTGTTCGGGGTGAGAGGCTGACAGAGCACGAAGGCAAAATGTAACTAAAGATGCTGTCCAGCTCTTTCAATGTATTCTTATCCCCAGATGTGAAGTAACACCCACTCAAGGACAACCGTTCTCCTTAACACATTCAATCTGTGTAATTTCTTAATAGACTAAACACCAAATTTGTTCACCATAAGCACTGGGGGAAAAGAAAATGTTCCCATGTCAACCAGAAATAATAAGGTAAAATAAGATAAACTAAAATACAGGCTGTACATACATCTTAAAAAGGCCAGGGCACTCTTTAAATAGGTGGCTGTTAATCTCTGTGCTTAATTTGAGTCCCAAAGTCAGACATCAGTTTCTAGACAACAGAGATTCTGTAGCTCTTCAAATACCAGTAACAGGCTCAAAGCTCAAAAGCTCAAGGCCACTAGGAAGTCGCAGTTACATTTATCATCATAAAGCAATAAATGAAATCCTGGTGGACCAAGATGTTACCGACTAGCTGCCACACCTGTCCCTCACCCAGTTCCTTCAACAGGGAGAGGCACAGGACGAGGAAGCAGCTAATTCCCACTGTGATTCTCTGGGTTCTCGAATGGTAGGAAACATAATTTTAAAATAAAAGAAATAAAAGTAAAAGAGAGAGGGAGGGAAGGAAGAAAGGAAGGAGGGAAGGTCTAGAAAAGCTGCCCATTCAGAACAAATGTTAATTTTGTTCTAATCTTTCTTTCAACTAGGCTATGTCCAAGGGCATTTAACTGCACCACCCTATAAAAAGAGTCCACAGAAAATGCATTACTCGTACAGCACAGGGAATATACTCAATAATACTGTAATTAGGTGTGGTGTCAGGGAGGCACTAGACTTATTGGGGGAGTACTTTGTAAGGTATATAAATGTCTACCCACTATGCTATCCACCTAAAACTAATATAATATTATATATATATATTTATGTACATATCCTCACCCAAGGACACTTTCCCATTTTTTGTTCAGATAGAGTGGAAGGGAAAGAGAGAGAAACATCGACGTGAAAGGGACATATCGAGTGGCTGCCACCCGCACGACCCAACCAGGACTGGGGACAAACTGCAACCGAGGTACATGCCCTTAGCGGGAACCGAACCCGGGTCTCTCTGGACCGCAGGCCGACGCTCTGACTGCTAAGCCAAACCGGCCAGGGCTGAAACTAATATAATATTGAATGTCAACTATAAAATTAAGCAATACAAATAAATAAATTAATTAAAATGATTCATTACCTTAATTGCCAGCTTAATAATAACGTTATAATTATCAAATAAAAGCCAGCATTCCTCTTAGAGAGAAAACTTTTTGGTAAAATACTCTGGAAAGGCCCTGGCAGGAGAAAATGTGAGTAGGGCAGGAACGCAGACAATGATGACTAAGAAAACCGCTCCGAGCGCAGTAAGGACACAGTCCGCAGGGTGGAGTGCCCCGGAGCAGAAGGGATAGAGCAAAGTGGAAGCAGGGAACCAGGAAATGGTGCCAGGCATGAAGTTGGTAAAACTAATAGAACAGCCATCCCCCGCCCACCCTTTTCCCCATGCGCATTCTTTCCACATTTGTGACACTGTGGCGAGAAACAGAAACAGCGCGTGTGGAATCCAAAGATTGGAGCCAGAACCAAATGTATGACCTGAATGTCCTCCAGACCTGTGGAATCTTGGTAAGAGCTTTGCCACAGGACATGGCATGGGGTGGGGTGGGGGCAGGGAGTCATGCGAATCCTATCTAGATAGCAAGGAGCTGGACGTCTCCAGCCAACTGCTGAGTTAGTTACACGGTATGACCAGCCTCTTTCTGTTATGAGGAGTTACCCCCATTGCCAGTTGCCACAGGTAATTACCAACCACCTTTGTACATTGCTCCCCTTAAAAGACAGACTCAAAATCTTCTCCAAGAGAACGTCCTACCTTCTTTCCTTTTGGACCACCACTCCACTTTGGGATCAGCCAAGTTATTGTCAATACCTTATACTACAAACACCGTTCTTGGTGCTGGGGAAGGCGGTCTAGACCCTCCAGCCACACTCCATGCTGGCCTTAAGGACGTAACGGAAAAGGCCAACTTCCACTTTGTCCCCTTCCCACCTCCACTTTCCTTGTGGTCTTCCTATTTTTGGAATAACACCTCCATTCTCCAGAAGACTTGATCCATGCCGAACACAGTCAGGCACAGGGTGAGTACTTTTGATTAATTAAATTGAATTAAATCATAAAATCACTTACCAATGCAAATAATTATATGAGGCACCGAAGAAAAATGCTATAGAAATATGTGTTATTGTCATTACTTTAATCATTATAAGAAAAGTAAAATACTTTGGGACGGAAGATTTATTTATTTACCTCTTGACCATCTTTGCTCACTCGTATCCATATTGCCAGCGCCAGGATCAAGATACCACATAGCTGAAGGAAAAGAAAAGAAAAACATATATTAGAGTACAACGAAGACAAACTACAACTCTAATTCTACATACCCCTAGCCATCCGGTTACAACGGTCTGTCATTAATTACACCATGCCCCCTAACAGACAGGAATGAGGCACATTCGTGTGGAGATCACCGCTAACACGGTCCACGGTAACTGGGAGGTTTGATAAGAGGAACTGTTTCTCACCCACAGCCCATTTGCAGCTCAGGGACAAAAAATCATCTCCACTCTGGGGGCGGGGAAAGATGATTTTCTGCGTTTCAACTCGAACTAGGTGATTTTGCTAGATTTTAACATGTAAAAGATAAGTCACGGTAGTCTACAGACAAAATATCCTCATCAGGCCCTGGGTTTGTCTCTGAGAAGCTTAGACCAATAAAAGGAGAATAACTGACTAATTTCCAAACATTCCTTCAAGAAGCAAGTGGGGATAGACAAGGAAAAGTAGAACATCTGACAAAATTGGCAGTTAAGCAACAAGCATTCATAGCACTTCCTGTACCCAAATAAATTCTTTTAAAATAAGCTTTTCGGTAGTAAAGCATATCCAGAGAAGAGGAACAATGAGGAACAGCACTTAAAGTCTTAAATTCCTTTAATGACTTTACCAGATTATTTAATTTGGACCAGGGCCAACACATAAAATGTGAAACACATTTTACTTTCGTGTAAGGAAAACCCTTGCCTTTTAGGTTTGTTTTTTTTTTTTTTTTTTTTTGGTGTTGTTTTTTTTTTTAAGACATGTATGTTGTGGCCTCAAAAAAAAAAAAAAAAAAATTCAAAGATCTATTATTAGATAGAGATGTTGAGAACAAACTTGGTAACATACCCAGCACAGCAGGCCTTGGAGAACCTTCTAGGCTATTCTGGCCGCTGGTACTCTGACACAGAGCTGCCTGTGTCCTCCGAGCCCCGTGACCGTCCAGCATCATTGCTGTCGTGCACGGCTGAGCCATGTGTCTGGAATCCCAAAACAGCAGTTTCATTTTTAATGGCATCTCATTAAGTTTGTTTGGAAGTAGAGTCGAGGGCTTTGTTAAAGAATAGGAGAGCCATGAGTAGCTGAATAACCAGAGAATCCGTGTTCCCTAAAAGATCTCCAAAATCATCTAGGTTCCAACCCTTCATTTCACATAAAGAAACTAGAACCCTTGACAGATCAGTCACATGGTGAAAAATCCAGCACCACTTCTGATCTCACCCTACCTCTGCTCCATGCTTCTATTCCTACAAAATAAGGAATGCAGTGGAAAACTAAAGCTCTTACCAAATCAGCAAATAAGCTGAACAATTTCACTGTCTTACTGGTATGCACATGCACACACTATAAAATACACGCCATTGAAAAAACCTGAAAACCCTCCTTATTTCCTCTCCCTGTTTCGACTCATTCTAATCTCATTTGCAAATGAAGATAAAATACTCATTTTAGCAGTTCTTTGTTAAGAAATAAGTCTGTAATGATTTATGTCAAATGATAATAAGACTCTCTGGGATTTTCAGTAATTTTATAGCAGCTGGATTTTTCGTTATTTGATTTGTTCACTGATATTTTTTCTTTTTCTTCTTTCCCGGGAAGATTTGCATTGATTATCTTAATAGTTGCTCTGGCTTTTAGCTTTAACTGAAAATAGTACTCATTATATAAATAAATATTATGATTATCATCCTTATCTGATATTTATTTATGAAACTAAAAAGAAAACTTTAAGAACCCTTAGAGACTAAGAGTGTAATATTGTTTAAACATTTACAATTTGCTTGTTCACTTTTTCAATGTATTAAGACATCAAATTATTCAGAAATCTTATTAAATCAACCATATTTTCCCCTCAAATGATAAATTTTAGTCTTCTCAACCACTGAATGTTATCTGTAACATTAACATTTAAAGGGAGGATATTAAAGAAACAATGAGATACCACTATACACCCATTAGAATGGCCAAGGTCTGCAGCACTGACAGCCCCAGATGCTGACAAGGATGTGGAGCAGCAGGGACTCTCCTTCATTGCTGGCAGGGAGCAAAATGGTATAGCTCCCGTGGAAGACAATTTGGCAGTTTCTCACAAACTAAATATACTCTTACCATATGATCCAGCAATAATGCTCTTTGGTAGTTACCCAAAGGAGCTGAAAACTTAAATCTGCACAAAAACCTGCCCAAGGATATTTATAGCAGCTTTATTCATAACTGCTGAAACCTGGAAGCCACCATGATGTCCTTCAGTAGGTGAGTGGATAAATGAACTATGGTACAGCCAGACAATGAATTATTATTCATGGCGAAAAAGAAATGAGCTGTCCAGCCATGAAAGAATATAGAGGAAACTTAAATGCATATTATTAAGTGAAAGAAGCCAATCTGAAAAGGCTACATACTGTGTGATTTCAACTATGTGACATTCTGGAAAAGGCAAAACTATGGAGTCATTAAAAAGATCAAGAATTGCTGGAAGGAGGACAAAATGAATGGGGCAGAGCACAGAGGATTTTTAGGGCAGTGAAAATACTCTTTATAATAATATAATGACGAATACATGTCAGTGTCATTATACATTTGTTCATACCCATAGAATGTACAGCACCAAGAGTGAACCCTAACATAGATTATAGTCTTTGGGCAATTATGATGTGTCAATGTTGGTTCATCAATTGTAACAAATGTACCCCTCTGACTAGTGGTGTTGATAATGGGGGAAGTTATACATGGAGGGAGGGGGCAGGGGTATATGGGAAATCTCTGTACCTTCCTCTCAATTTTGCTGTGAATAAGACTACTCTAGCAAATTAAAAGCTTTTAAAAAAGAAAGAGTATTCAATTATTTCAGAAGTCAAAAATATTTTGCCCATCTTCAATCTTCACAATTACACAAATGTTCTTAGGGATTTTGAAGTTGACCAAACTATCATTTCCATCCCTTCTTCAAACTTTATCATAAAAACAAAAAGAAACAAATCTTTAAAACAGATACTCCTCCTGTTACTGAAGAAGTTCATATGCAAAAATCAGAGACTTAATAGCATGCAATCATTCATAAATTTGTTAAATGACTTTAAAAGTAAATTGATTTTCTGTCAAGAACAATCTTCTAGTTACATGATTGACATTAACCTATTTTATCCCAGTTGTTTTTAGATTGGTCAAAACAGTTCTTGGAGCACTCTTCCAGTTTGTATTTATGGATTTGTTCCCTATTTTAAATAACTAGGAGTATAAATTAAGAAAAAAGTGTCTCGTTCTGTCTTTTCTGTTTATAAAGGTGGTAAAAGGAAATAGGTGGATATGTGGAGCCCCCAAGCCAGTCCACAGTGGACACTGCAGAACTGACTATGTCTACCCCACACACACACACACACAGTGAGTCATTGTGGTTGTCACTCAGCTCTCATGGGACATTTTTCTTTCTTTTTCTTCAAATTATGTTTTATTAATATTTTTAGAGAGAAAGGAAGGAAGCGAGAGAGGGAGAGGGAGAGAGAGAGAGAAACATCAATCAGCTGCCTCCGGCATACACCCCGACCAGGGATCAAACTTACAACCTGGGTATGTGCTTTAACTGGGAATTGAATGGGCGACCTTTGGGTGTACCAGTCGACATTCAGCCAACTGAACCACACTAGCCAGGGCAGGACATCTTTCTTTTTATGGAATTAGGATGCTGTTGGTCTGTGCCAACATACTAAGTAATGAGATAATTTTGGTTTGCTTATGAGCATGCTATGGACTAAATTATATTCTCCCTAAATTGGGATGTTGGAGCCCAACTTACAATGTGACTGTATGCTGAGGTAGGGCTTTTAGGAGGTGAAGTCAAATGAGACCATAAGGGTGAGATCCATATCCCATATGATTGCTGACCTTATAACAAGAGGAAGAGAGAAGGAAAAATGTCTTTTTCTATGTACACACGCAGGGAGGAGAGGCCACGTGAGGACACAAAAGAAGGCAGCCATTCGCAAGCTGGGAAGAGAGGCCTCACCAGAAACCCATCGGTTGGTACCTTGATCTTGAACTTCCAGCCTCCAGAACAGTGAGAAAAAAGATTCTGTTGTTTAACCTACCACCTCTATGCCATTTTGTTATGGCAGCCCAAGCAGACTAAGACCGGGCAGGAAGAAATGGGAAGCACCATCCAGCACACAAACAAAGGGTATAGAACAAGCTAATCAATCCTCTTCTCTGATAACGTGTCCTCTAACCATGCCTGCTCCTTCCCTCCCAATTCTATCTTTTGATTTGGGTGTTTATCAAAGTGTTTTTTAAGAGTGCCAAAAATGGAAGAAGTCCTGGCCCAGTGGCTGAGTTGGTTGGAGCATCATCCCATACACCAAAAGTCTGCAGGTTCAATTCCTGCTCAGGGCACATACCTAGGTTGTGGGTTCAATCCCCAGTAGGGATGCATACAGGAGGAAACCGATCAATGTTTTGCTCTCACATCAATGTTTCTCTCTCTCAGTCAATCAATAAAATATATATTTGGGTGAGGATTAAAAGAAAAATGGGCCCTAGCCAGCTTGGCTCAGCCATTAGAGCATTGGCCCAAGAACCAAAGGGTCGCAGGTTCAATTCCTGGTCAATGGCATGTACCTGGATTGCAGGTACAATCCCTGCCCCGGTCAGGGTCGTGCAGGAGGCAACCAATCGATGTGACACATCAATGTTTCTCTCTCTCTCTCTCCCTTCCTCCTTCCCTTCCACTCTATCTAAAAATCAATGAAAAAATGTCCTTGGGTGAGGATTAAAAAAAAAAAAAAAAAGCAAGAAAGAAAGAACGAAGGAAGGGAGGGAGGGGGGTGGGAAGGAAGGAAGGAAGGAAGGAAGGAAGGAAGGAAGGAAGGAAGGAAGGAAGGAAGGAAGGGAGAGAAAGAAAGAAATTAAAGAGTATAGTGCCATTAGTGCCATGCTAGGAGGAAAGAAGCATGTACTGTGAGCTATATCATTATTGGTTCAGAATAGACACTTTTAAGATA